GGGTTACGATTATATGGGTTGTGGGTACGGGGGCGCAGTCCCGCGGTACGGTACAGGGTTATTTTTGTAAATATGTATCAGAATTTATTTATTATAAAAGGAGATGTAGCCAAAACCTATGAGATATTGAATAAGAATTCTAGCACCGCCTAGGGCACCGAGGATGTAAGCACATTGCTGATCCTCTTTAAAATTCTTGTGTTCTTTCCGTTTTCTTTACCCGATTATTCAACAGAGAAGTGCTAGGATTTTAGTTTTGGTAATTGGAATCTCAAATATGTAAAAGGAGATTACAAGAAATAATGAAAAATATTTAATAGACCAAAGTAATTGAAACCATCTTTAAACCACTCCATTTGCTTAAGGTTTATATTTAAACACATCATTTTTTTAATTTAATTAGTACAAGCGAGTTCGTTTAAACTTAAACATCAACTGTCTTATTTGGTGCGTATTATTAATTAGGGTTTAAGGATTTAATTGTAAATAAGGATATTTGATTTCTTTTGAATTTAGAAATAAAATTTAAAAGTTTTACACTAGATTTTATCAATCACATTTCATATAATTTATAATAAAAAAAATCGTACTTGAATTTAACGAAATTTATAATAATTTCGTAAAAGAAAACCCAAAACTACTGAAAGTATTATTATTAATCACAAAAGCAGATTATACGGACGCATGCATGCAGAAAAAAGACAAACTCGCTGGAATTGGCAGAAAGCTATAAACTAAGCTTTCTGGTTTAGTCAAAACTATACCCAGATCTAATACCTGTATTGTACGCATTATACGTACAAGAGATTTGGAATAAAAATGAGTATATATATACTACACACACATATATACATATATACAAATATAATACAGTTGTTTTTGGAGAATTATTTATTTATTTATAATATTTGAGAGTGATAAACTGTTCTTGAGCACAGAAGAAAGTTCTGGGTTTTATGATTACCTTACAAGCTCTGCTATTTCCCTTTTGTGTATCACCTAATCTTCTAGCTCATCTTACTAGGAGTGAGTAATCAATCGAAGGAGTAAAAACGATTAAGTTAGTTAATTGAGTAGTCTTATTTTATAACTCAAATTTCATTTGATTTTTTTTCTGAATTGAATTAAATCTATAAAATTATGAGTCAATTCAAGTTTCTAACATCTAGTTGAATCGAAAAATTTGATTTTTCCAAATAAAGTTGAATTTTACTCACCCATATATCTTACCTAGATTTTATATTCGAATGGTCTTTTAAATCGAGATTAAAACAGCATTTCTGCAGGGTTTTGTGTGACTTTCACCCAAAGTTTCTGCAGAAAAGAAACTATCAGATTCACCAAAATATCTTTATGAGGGGAATTTAAGGTTGACACCCTTAATATACGATTAAAAAAAGTGTTACCGGTTTTATTATTTAAAACAATAACAAAATCGATAAAAAATTATTAAAAATTATTATTTTTACCTCAAACATCAATATTTTTTAACATTTATGTAAATTACCTTCTTCTTAGTCAAACTTGGCTTTGGCCTGGGAAAGGCAGCAATGATTTGGGAACTCAGGTCATAAAAAATATCATTTCTTTTGAGTTTTATTTTACTTTTTACTGTATAATTTTCTGTTAGGTCTAGATATAATAATGAGCAAGATTGCTCGAGTTTTTAATACATCCAAATTAAAAATAATATTTTTTCTATCCATCGTTCGATTCAATTTGAATTTAAAAAAGATTCATCCAACTCAATTCTAAAGATAAAAATTTTGTATGGATGAATACAAATAAAATTTTAGCATGGACATCATTAATAAAATAAAAAATTAACCTAAACAAATTCGAATTCCGCATTCCCCGGTGGGCATTTGCCCACCCTAAAATACACTTACATGGGAATCAAATGACCATCTCTGATTGAAACTATGGCTGTAGGTGTAATGGCAGAAAACATTATAAAAGGAGGGCCCTCTACACAGGGAAGGGATGAATGATGCATCCCTTTCTTTGTTTCAGTCAATAGAGTCACCCAACAAATCTTGGAATTTTTATGTCCCCAAATTCAACACATTTATCAATGGCTTCCACTGACTCACAAACTCTACTGCATCCACCCATGGCTCCTTTATCACTCTTTCTAGCCTATAAATTCTAAATAAATTTTTTTTTGCCCTACAACAATTTTAAAGGTTAAAATTGTAAAACCTGAGGAACCCAATACACCCATTTATAAAACATTTACCATTAAATGAAAACATATAAATTTGATGGAGGAAGAAACGTATGGTTGATATGATTTTGTGGGTTACATGTTTCTTTTAAACAAGCCTTACACTTTTGTAGTTGGGAAACATGTGCTAGCTATCAGTGCCACCACACCATTGAACCAATAACTCCAACTATCTTACTAATTTTATTGTCCGTTTCTTTTGTAACCATTTTACTATTTAAGAACAATCATCTTCGGATCGAGATGATGTTCGAGTAAAACTCGACCAATGACGATGTTTACTTGATTCAAGTGTTCAAGGAAGAGATTCTCCAACCACTTGTTTGATATATTACGATCACAAGTTACTCAATTATTAGTGAGATTATAAATGGATCACATAATTTTAAAAAGCTAAAAGCTGATCATTCGATTAATCAATTGAGTGACTTGATTATAACTAAAAAGTTAACATCCGATTCATTTTTAATGATAGAGTGATGCGTTTTTAAAAATCGATTAATTGACATATGTTTTTAAATATAGAGAATATTTGATATATATTTTTACCCTATAAACCAAGTTCACACATTCAATAAACCAATAAGCAACTAAAATTTGATATATGAGGAAAGATATATACATAGCATGTGTATTTTTGGACACACTTTCTTTCCAAATGGAATCAATGATTTCTTTTGATTTGGAAAATCGACAAAATTTAATATACTTAATCTATAAGTAAAGATTTCAACTTTTTTTTTTAATTTAAAAATCCACACCCAACACGTCATAATTAACAAAAATGAGATTATAACTTATTTTCTATGGGGTGTCTTTCTTTTAATATTTTTAAATGGGTAAAGTACAACTTAAGTCGTTGGGTTATTCTCAAACGATTATTTTGATTATTAAACTTTCAAAAGTTATAAAATTATCACTAAATTCATTAAAATAATACAAATGATTATTAAAATTTATAAAACTACTACAAAATGATATCTAAAAGTTATCAAATTATTACGAGATAATCGTTAAAATTATCTAAATTTTTATACTTATTATAACATCACATTGATCATTTTATAATACTTCAATAAGTTTAATGACCATTTTATACTTTTTAAAGGTTTAATAATCAAATGATTATTTCAATGTAATTTACTAACCTCTAATGTATTTTACCCATATATACCTTAAACCCCAGCCTACCCATTAGGGGATACACTTTTCTCTCCCCTCGGTTCATTCTATTTTACGACTTTATTCAATTTCACCCCCATATTCAAGTAATGAATCTACCATTTGGTGAAACATTATCAACTTTTATAATATAAATGAAAGAATTTATTGTAACAAGGAGATTGTAAGTTTAACGCATACTACAATTTAGGTGAAAGGTGAGAGTGACATTCAAGGGTAGAATAAAACCAAAGATGCCTTGTATACTATGAACAATTTACACATACCAGACCGTTAATAAAATACTCAAATTTTACAAACAAGTACATAATTTTGATATATTCAGTTGTTAATATGTTTAAAGATAAAAAAAAATCTACTTGGATTCTATATTCAAAGATCGAAATAAAGATGTCCGGAAGCTAAATGTATGTGATCCACACGATGCCCTCAATATAGTAACTAGTAGTTTAGTAGGCCAGCCAGTAGCAGGGAGGGGGTTAGATATTTTTAATGTGAAAATGGGCTAATTAGGGTTAAACATACTTAAAGATGATATTAAACCTTATGGTTTTCATCTCAAACAAACTCCACGCGCTTTTATGGAGACTCCATCAAACGTTCCTATCAAAGGTTGTTTATGTGCGAAGGGCATCTTTGAGACCGCATATACGACAGTGAATATTAAAAAAAAAAAAGAATTAATGCGGAGCAACAGGAGCGTGTAACAAACGCGTTGAAGCAGTGCGTTTTTTCACTTTTCCAATCTAGGGCAACATCCATAATGGAAATGCCATAAGAACCGAACCCCACTTCCACGTGGGTTAAATCCATTGGTTCTTTTTCTAGCATTTATTTTCTCACTCTTAGCTCTCTCTCTAAGATAAAATAAAGGTTAAATTACACTGGATGTCACTCAACTATTACAAAATAATTTTAATGGTCAGTAAACTTTCAAATGTTACAAAATGACTAGTAAACTTCCTAAACAATTATAAAATTATCATTACATATTATTTAGTTGTAGAAAAATAGTCATTAAAATTACATGATTATTACAAAAATATCCTTAAAATTATCAAAATTTATTTCTATTTTATAATATTTAGCATTTTGTAATTTGTTGATAAATTAAATGATTATTTTGTAAGATATGAAAGTTTACTAGTAAAAAATATTATTTTAATATAATTCCATATGATTTTTATAATATATAAGGACCATTTTATAATAATTTGATAAATTTAATGACTATTTTATAAGAATTGAAAGTTTATTAGACAAAAATATCATTTTAACATAATTTAATGACCTCTGTTGTATTTTACCCTAACTTAAATAAAATAAAATAAATATTAATTACATATATTTTCAGATGATTTTTATAATATATAGAGATTATTTTGTAATAATTTTATAAATTTATTATTTTATAGATTTTAAAAGTTTACTGGTTTAAAAATATTATTTTAGCATAATTCAGTGACCTCTATGTATTTTACCCTAAATTGAATAAACTAAAAAACAATATATTTACAGATGATTTTTAATACAACAACAGCAAAGACCTTCCTTTCAAGCACAAAAGATAAATGCTCTTTTCTCTGTCTACTCTCTATTTCTCTCTCTAAAATAATCGAAAAACCTCTTCTTTGTTCAGCTAGGGTTTCTCAAAACTTCGCACTCAAATTATACACGACGAGCTTCAGATCTCTCCTGAAAGATCTAATCTTCTTCTCTCTCGATCAATGTTCTTTCTTTTGATACCGTTTTCTCGACTGGCCGTGAAGAATCGAAGCTGGGTTGGTTTTGAATTTTCTTAGCAGGTACCTAACACAGATAAATAAGGTATTTTCTCTTCTGATCTAATTACAGTTTCAAACTCTGGGTTTCTTTTGAATTATTAATATGTAGTTGAGCTGAGCTGGAGTTTTTTTTTTTTTATTTCAGTTATCTGGGGTTAGTTTACTGTGTTTAGCACGTTAAGTTTAGCCTTTTATTGTCATTTTGGCATCTGGGTTTTACTTAATGGGTTAATATTTTTTCACTTTTTTGGGATATTTTATGTGTTTTCTTCCATCGTTTTTCTGGTGATAAAGATGGTGTTCACTGTTCACTGGCTCGTGAATTTGCTAGCTATGAAACCCTAGATAAAAATTTTCATTTAATGGATCGATGTGGGTTATTTTAACATCAAACTCGAAGGCTTCGAGGTGAGTTTTGAAGTTGATTGTTTTTTGCTTTGATATAGAAGGGATAAACGAAGCTCTATTATTCTCATCTCAAACTTTAGTTCGTGTTATCTGATAAAACCCTAACATGTTTGTTTTTGATGATTTACTTTGCATTATAAATGGACGAGTTTTGGTTTACAATTTAATAGGATGTTGTTAATACATTAATCTAGTAACTGCAAACATATTTATGTTTGATTTCATTAGGAACTAGGGTTTCCAATTTTGTTCCCTTTTAAAGTACTCACTCGTCTGCTGCTATAGGCTATTATTTTATGTAATAAATCACCATATATAGGGGCTTTCTTTCTTCTCATATTTTTAGTGCATCCGTTTTTCTATGTGACTGTTATTTCATCTTGAATTTCCAAGGCATTATGAAGCGTGTGTTTAATATCTTAGTGCTTCATGCGTGTGACTGTTATTTCATCTTGAATTTCCAAGGAATTATGAAGCGTGTGCTTAATATCTTAGTGTTTCATGCGGCGTTGATTACATAGCTTACAGATATAATTAAAGTGTTACTATGTATTGGTATTCGACGCTCATGGCATATCTAATTGTTTCATATAGGTTTCATCAATTAGTTAGTCATATATAGCATGGAGACAACTGCTGCGGCCAAGGGAACTCATCACAGTTGCAGTTCTAATCTCGTTTCCAAGTCCGTGGAATCACACATAAAGATTGACTCAATATCCATAGATCTCATTAATGCTATCGATGACATTGATACTAGGAAGTGTGAACATTTTTCTATCCGGTAAGCCGTGATCCTTAGTAGTCAGTTCTCTTGTATATTTGCTGCACTTTCTCAACTTCTCTTTTTACTACCGTTGTTTTTGAAAATGGGTTTATGGTGGCTGTTGTTTGCGTGAGGGAGCTATACACAGTAAGTGTATGAATTTAAGAGATGTATTCTCCTTAGTGGAAGAGAGATCGCATCTACTTACTATTGAACGCCTTCAAATTATTTATCAATAATGAGAATTGTTGAAAGAATGAATTAACTTGTTTCTTTCTTTCTCTTGTTTGTTCTTCCTCAGTAACTGCATAACATGCTCGTTTCTGTGTGCGCATGATGACTTTTTCCACACTTTTGGTAACTGATCAAAATGTTTTGGATATTTTAGTTATAGTTTTTCCGAGACCATATCTCCAACAATATGACGACATACTAAACATCAAATTTATGTAATGATATCTAATGAAGGGGCTAAAGTTTTTAATTGAAGGAAACTTATTGCAAGATTTGATATGTATAGCTTTTGCAAATGTATAGTTCTTTGTGGTGCATTAGTGGTCATGTTGGAAGTCAACCTCATAAATTCCCTTTGATTTAAATGCAGTGGATATACATCTGAGATGCGCAAGAAAGACTGGAAGAAAAGCTGGCCATTTGCATTAGATGGTGACCAGAATATTTTTAAAGAACAAATCTGTAAGCTTCCTCCTTTACTTGTTCCGAAGTTCAGATGGTGGTGTTGCCAGCACTGTCTGCAGGAAACTGGGACCGAAAGCAGTATAAATGAAGAAAGAATTGTTACTAATAACAGTAGCAAATTGAAATCCTTTTGCTCTTGTTCCCAAGTGCCATCCCGTGGGGATGCTTTGATGTGTTCATCAGATTTGCAGCAGACTGGAAAGATTTATGTTGACTCGAGAAAATCTGGTGATGTTGCTTGTTTGAATGTTAATAGCAGTACCTGTCATCCTTTGGTTAGTGATAAAAGCGAAAAGAAAGCGGCAAATGCAGATATACCGATCATAGGTATTTTTCTGTCTTAGCTCAATTCTTATATTATTACCACTAAATTAGAACATTAATTTTATTTGGTTCTTTTTCCAGGGAAAGTAGATATCTTAGAGAATAACGATAACAACGAAATCCATATTTCAAATTATGCCGGAATAGAAGTTGTTTCTAGCCTTATGTGGAAAACACTTGGTTTTGATGAAAAAGGTACGCTACAATGAGTAAAAGCCTATCTAAATAAGCTTAATCATTTTCCTGCATAGCAACTGAAATTGGAACTGCATTTACTGCCATAACACTGCTGATTTCTGCAACAGTTGCTTCTCTGCAACTTCGTAATCCTGATTTAAAAGATAATGAAGTTGCTGGTGTCAAGGTTCCTGAATCAAATGTGGAGTGCACGGTTAAGGATGCCACTGAAACACGTCAAACGGGGAAATCTGCCTGTGATCAACAGATGGAGTTGGTGAGAGGTTCTGGATCCCATGGGATAGCAAGTACGGTTCACAGGGTTCCCAATGCTATTAAGAATCATACAGATGAACATCCTTCATCAGAATTAGGTGATTGTGATTATGCATCATCTGAAAGTGATGAGGTATTGCCTGGAACTGTGTCTGGCAGCTTGCATCGAAGAAAAAACCATAAGGTGCGTCTGCTAACTGAACTGTTGGGTACTAACGACGATGGGAAAACTAATCTCACGAGTACTGAGGATTCTCCTTCCAGTACCATTCCTGATGCATCTATAGGCATGGATTCAATATCTACTTCCCAAGGTCATGTCAATTTCCACGGAAGTGTTACAAGCAGTTTGGCTCGTAGAAAGAAAAGAAAGATACCACAGGATGAAGAATGGGTTCCTGGAGAATTTATGTGCTCTCCAAATAATGGGCATAAAAACTTTAAGACCATCAACAGAGATGCAGAAAGTGTTGATGGAATCACAAGTTCTGATTCAGAAGGTACAATTAACAGAAGCAGCTCACAGGCTCCAGCAAAGAGCAATTTGGTTAATGCTAAAGTAGAAAAAGGTCCTATTCTAGGAAAGAAGAAAAGTAAAAAGACCGAGTATTTTGATGAATTGCACCTGTCTCGAGAAAATTTGCAGAAAGAAAGACAGAAAAAGCCCCCTGGAGATACCACCAAGAATGATGCCTCTGATATTGTTTTGTACAAATCAAATGATGTATCTACAGGCGGTGGGTTAAATCCCTTTCCTGAATCTGCCTTGAAGGCAAAGAAAAAATATAATCTATTGAAGAAAAAGAGCAAGATGCATCAAGATCATGATTGTCAAGCTTCTCGAATTCCTTGGAACAATGGCAATGTCAGAGAAGGTCCGATTTCAAGGAAAGATGTTGAAACAAGACAAACTGGAAATTTAGCTGTCCTGCTTGAAGTAACACAGGATACGTCAGCTACAAAAGGACTGCAATTTTCTCCTAATAATTCCTTGTCTGCTACAAGTTATGATGCAAAATATAGCACTCCAATCAGAGATGGACAAGGGCATGTTCTCAGTGAATACGATACTGGGGGGAAAGATCTAAACATGAATTATGTTTCTCAAGCTGATCCCAACGTTTGGAAGGGAATGCATGTTGATCTCAACAGTAATCATACCGCGTACAAAATACCGTTCCTGAATGAGATGCAGAAGGACATATCTCCCGCTGAAGTTGGGAGTTCTTCGATTCAGCTAATGGTATGGGCTTTTCTTCTGTTACTAAAGTAGCTGAACTGGCATCTAAAATGAAAAACTGACTATATTCGCAAGCCGTCTTCCCCAAATTTGGTTTCTTCCTCTGTAACCAAGTTTGTTTTTAGGCATCAATTATTCAGGTTATGATGAACATTTAGAACGAAGTTTCTGGAATTTTCAGATTGAACTTTATTGTTGCTTTTGAGCCAAAAACATTCCTTTTTCTTGAACCAGTTATAAAACTTCAAAAGGTACATATATCTTTTCCTTTCTTGAGAAAACTGGTTCACATAATTGAGAACTCTGATATACTTGCATGCTTGGTTTCATCGGAAACCGAAGCTTTATCTTTATGCTTACTCCAAAATAAGTATCTGCAAAGATTAGGTATGAAATCATCTTAAGTTCCTTAGACTTTGAAACTGCTTTTGCTTCCATCCATAGTCCTCACACCAAAATATAAATCTCTCAAAATATTTTAGAATACTAATGACTCTTCTGGTTCTGATATAAGCCCATGTAATCTTAGATATGAAAACTTAGTAGTATTCTTGCTTATGGCGGACATTTCCCAAGTAACGAGGAATAATTCATCTAATTAATGTATCTTTTTTTCCCTTGTTATTTCTGTTGAATTGAGAGGATGTTTTCTCCCCATCTGTTTCTTTTTGCAGGATTTCAATGGTACAAGCAACAACGGGAGAACTGTGAAGTTTCGGGACCATGCGACAGTTGCTAGGGAACATTATGATAAACGTGTTGAAATGGCGTCTGAGCAAGAAGCTGCAGATGACATAATGGAAATTGTTGAACTCATGGCAAAGAATCAGTATGAAAGGTGTCTTCCTGATACTGAAATTGATAAACAGCTACCAGAAATAAGTAATGCCAAAAATCATCTGATGGTGGATCTTAATAAAGCATATGGAAATGAAGAGATGGACTTGTTTCAAGAGACCATCAAGCAAAACACTGCTCAAAATTGCCAGTGGATTGGAAACATGGTTGGGCAGAAGTCCTCTCATGCTAATGTGCGGGCATCGGGAATTTGTAAAACCAGCCAGGGTGCTCCACAGCAGAATAAGGAAGCAGCTCACCTATGGCTATCCATGATGCCGAATAGCATGCCCTATATTCCCAGCGTCCCTCACAAGTGTGCAGATCAGTTGCCAAAGTTAGACATGCTTAGACATTGCCCCAGCAATCTACCTAAGGGAAATATGAGTCAAAATGATGACCGGGACTTCTTGAATTTGGATTCAAACTATGAGAAGCCTCGTAGAAAGTTTGATTCTGAAGCCCTTAGAAGGACACATGCAGACTACCCATTTACTTGCAAACATAATGGGACGGGGTTGTTAGACCTGTATTCTAATGAAACCATACCCGCCATGCATTTACTCAGCCTTATGGATGCAGGGTTACAGTCGGGGGCACCTGTTGACGGGAACCAAAGAGTCGTTAAGAAAACTTCGTTTCTTTCTGGGGGATACAGAACCACTTCAATGAAGCATCCATCATTTGATTGCTACGGTAAAAGCCACCTACCTGAGAGTTTTTGCGAGTGTATGTCAGTTACTGAAGCAGATGGTCCTTCTACTTCATTCCAGGATGATAAAAGTTTCAAGGGACCTGAATTTACTGGTCATTTTTCACTGAATTCTAGAGAAAAAGAGAAGAAAAAGTGCTCAGACTCTCAAAGGCAGAATAAAAACCACAAATCTAACAGATCTGTATCTTCAAATAGTGGCTTAAATACAACTTGTGGATCTATTCCTGTTCATAGTATGCCGAAATTGGCACTTGGAACTTCAGAATTTATGATGTTTCCCGGGAAGCTTCATGTAATGGAGAGTGCAACAAAACATAAGCAGAAGACCCGTACTTCGAGTGGTACCCTTTTCCATCCAAAAAGTGGTTCAGAGAATGATATATGTGGCATTAATAGAAACCCTGCTGATTTTACTATACCTGGAGCTGGAAATATGTACATGATCGATGGTGAAGACCTGAAATTTGGAAGGGAAAAAGCTCCGTCGTCTGGCTTGGTAAAATTGATTGGGCACAAATGTCAGAGGAAGCTTACGGTTAGAAAGGAGCATTCACGAAATTGAACTTCGTGATTCTTTTATCTGTATATTTTCTGGTAGCATCTCAGAATCACTTTAATTTCATTTCGATTTCAAATTGATCCCTTCCCTTGCATTTGTCTGGCTGAACTCTTCAATCAGTATTTGACGTATCCTAATTTTCTATAGGCAAAACCGGAATCGCCTTCTTTGATACCTCAAAACAAAGAAAAGCTTAAAAGCTTCATTGTCAGGCACCACAGCAGTCATATTTACCACACAAGTTGAATATTTTGTTCTACTGGCATCAGCGTTTTCCATTTCCAAGCCCGAGAACCGCATGGTAAGGCGTGTAAATATTCATATGCCTGGAATCCTGCACACTCAGCCTTACATAACATACCAACCGAAAGTATTCGATGTTGTATGCTGGTATTGTCCTGGAAAAGTGTTTGTAAAACCTAGATATCGCCTTTTATTAGTACTCGGAAGTGTGTGTTTGTCGTTAAATAAGTCGGTGTTTGTGCCATTGTTGAGCCAGTTATTGGGAGTTGAAACAGGACTGGCAATCAGTCAAATATGAAACCCCTACAGAGGGACAGTATACCCTTTTGTTGTTGGTAATTATTTTATTCAGCTGTAATTCATAAGGTTTGACAAAGAAGAGAGAAACGGAGATGTTATCTTCATGCCAATATGATACAATTATCTTATTGTGTATATTGTAATAGATTTGTCATGTGTTTTGTTTCACTTTTCTTATGCTTTATCACGTGTTAACTGGATAATATTAATCCCCATATTTCAATAGAATTGTCACATTTTAACCTTATGGTAAAAATGTATAATGTATTATGGATAAAAGTAAAAAAATTTAACAAAATTCCAACCGTGACATTTTAATTGAGATGAACGAGTATTATTATAAAAGCAGTTCTATCTTTTCTTGCTTTCATATAATATTTAAATGGGAAAAAAAAATACAAACAGTTATCGGTTCACGGATTGAAACTTCAATTGCTGGTAAGCATGGACCTTGGCATTGCTTGTTATGATCAGTGGGCATGTATCTTACTATCTGTTTCATGGCCATCTTTTTATTGGAGGCAGAAAGTAGACGAGTGAAGTGAGGCCAATTGCTGAGAACAATTCTTGTTCATACAAGTATGTTTTGACTCTGCTAATTATGATAAGCAATGTAGATCTGCCTCGCATCTGAAATATCGAGGGGCTTCATCTTCATATACATTCAATTCCATTGTTTTGAGTTTTTCCTTGTGTGCCAAAGCAATAACCACAACATCTATATTCTATCTATTATTTGTTACTTCATTTTGCAATTTTACCGGCTCCGAGCTTTCAAGGACTTCTTCAATATGCTTTCAATGTGTGGATTTCTATATAGCTTTTTAATATTTTTTTAGAATTATTACTGTTGAAAATTATCAAAAAACCAGACTCTTGAGGAGCAAATGAGATTGTTTGATTAAAATTCATAATTACGGACAGTTAATGTATATTGTTACAATAAAATATGACATAAAATTAAGTGATCAATTATGATTATAAGTCATAAGGTTTTACAAGTATTATGGAAATAAAGGGTAAATACAATTAAATTTGATGAGGGGTGAAGTTACAAATACAAACAATAATTGATTCTTAAATTAGCCATATAAAGGGGTTTTGATCCCAAAAAATAGTCCGTCTTGTATTTTCTCTTATCCCGTCAGAGTGTTAATACTCAAGAGAAATCTATCTTTTTTTAAAGATCACAACCAAAAAATAGTCAAAATTTCAACCTATAAATTGATTTAGACACACTTTTGCATCTAATATTTTATTCTTAATGATTTAACATAATTAAAATCTATTAATTTTTATATTTATTATAGTTTGGTTCTAACGTAAAAAAACAATCCAGCAGTTAACTGCTGGATGCATGCATGAATGTTGGTCTCGCCATTGGTTTATGGTTTGAAGAGGCAGTACAAGTAGATTTAAATGACACAGCTGCTGCTGCTGCATGTGTTTTAGCTTTAGCACACTGCTCTAGATTACTCAGGTTCTTTATTCTCCACAGCAAAAATTATATTGGTCTCGCCAAAATCTTTTTTAAACTTGTTTTTATTTTGTATTTTTTTCTCGTACTTTGCTCTTTAAATTTCTATTTTTGTTAAACTGAAAAAACTAACAACAAAAATGTAATAAATTTACCAATCTCAAGTCAATTATTATATTTGTTGACATATGTTATTTTGGCCTTTTACTTTATACATATATCATCTACATACAATTGTTTAAATATGATATCTCTAAAAATAATAATACTCTTATATTTAAAATATTACCATTGATTTATATTATTTATTTAAGACTACTACTTTAGATGATGAACAGTATAAATGTGTGCTTGTCGAGGATTATTCCATTAACAAAACTAAGTTAAACAGAAGCTAAAATTGTATTATGAAAATCAATTTTGTAAATCATAAAGCATACAACAATTTAGCCCAAAGAAGAAAGGAGAATAAAATAGAAACTGGTCACAAATAAGCTTTAAAAAAATTAAAGGTAAATTAAGTGTTTAGTATCTAAATTATCAATTTCGGTATTTAAACTTTCAATGTTTTTAAAATTATACCAAACGTTTTGTTTCATTTTAGCACTCTTGTTAATAACTTAACGTTAGTTTTTGAAATTCTTTTTAAAGTTTAGGTATTAAAATGGATCAAAATTGTTAGTTTAAGTACCAAACGCGTTAAGTTTTTAGCGATATGATACTAAAATGAAATAAAAATTGAATATTAGGTATAAATTTAATTTTTTTTGAAAATTTAGATACTAAAATGGATAAAACTGATAGTTTAAGTACTAAACATGTAGTTTACCCAAAAATTAAAATCCACAAATGCCCGAAAATTATTTTTTATCTTGACTAAACTACACTCACTAATGTTTGGGTAAATCTGAACCCATGCCCTCAGCAAAGCTGAAAAATAATTGGGGTCGGATCCCCGTTTACAGAACTTGTTCTCCAATTTCTTCAATGTCTCCACTTTGGTCCTCGAATTTCTCCAATCTCACCAATTTGTTCCTCTAAGTCTCTAGACCCTTTCAATTGGATCCTCATTGCTCTTCGTCCAAATCAATCGTGGTGAACCACACATTATTCTCTGCTCAAATAAATTGGAGTGAAGCACACACAGCTGCTCGACATACAAGGTAAATCATGATAAGCTAGACACGATATAGGGATCGCATTCGAGACTTCCTTCAAGATCGGGAGACAAAATCCCGGGACTAAAACAACCATGAATTCAATACATTTTTTTGTTGTCGGGATTTTAACCGAACAATCCAAAGATTCCTCAACAAGGTTTACTTTTCAAACAAAAAAAGTAGAGTGTTTGCTTAGTTTGGAGCCATTGTAATCGATAACAAAATTCATAAATATGAATGATTCGTTTAGACCTATAAATGTTAATGGCCAAAATTGTTACTATGCCAATTAAACAAATTGCTTAAATAAGCAACTTCATTTTCCTGTGTTTTGGAAATTGTTTACATGGACCGAATCTTCTTCCCCCAAAACAAACACCAGAAAATGGAGAAAATAATTTTTTTTACATCTTTTAAAATTATGATCAAATTGATAGAATTTATAAATAATTAAATAGGATGATTTATTTAAACTTGTAAAGGTTGAGGGCTAACATTGTCATTATGTCAAAAAACGAGACATGAAAGTAATTTGATTAAAAATTTAACGACCAGAGATCAAAATGTTTAATTTTTGCGATGTTAGTGACATAATTAAAAAGTTTTTTAGTCTGATGACCAAAATAGAAGCAAATTAATACTTAGGCGCGAGCTGTATGGTTTATTCATAAAATATCATATTGGTATTTTGATAGCAACTTATTAATTTTAGAGTTTTAATGTTATTGTGTGCGATATTTAGGTTTTATGATTTATGAATATAAAATTAAAGTTTAATATTTATAGTTTAAGGTTGAATTTTTTATTAATATAGGATGATTATAAGTTAGGGGTGTGCAAAATTCGAATATCGAATCCGATGCAATCTGAAAATTTGAATATCCAAAATTTTGAATAATTAAAATAATGATCCGAATTCAATTCGAAGAAACTGGATATCCGAATATATGATCCAAATGTATAACTTATTTTACCTAAAATTAATCTCTCATATAATATTCAAGAATTTCAAATTAAATAATTACATAATATATTTGAAAAATGAAACCTAAATGTTGATGTATTTCAATTAAACTACGGGTTTAATTAAAAACTTGAATGGGATTATAATTATGGATATATATATATATATATATATATATATATAAATGAATATTACACAAATTTATTTCAATTAATTACCATAACTAAACTCAAATGTTATACACGAAGATTATATATATTATGTATATGCATATTCATACAACTAGATTATGTACAAAAAAGCTATGTTTATTAACATATGTTAAATAAACAATTAAAAGTTTTAACCAAAATATATATTACGTGAAAGAATTGTCCAAAAAAATAGATTATGTATATGCACGTAGGATTTGGGAGAGTTTCACGTGAAAGATAGCTGGGCCTAAGGTTAGATAATTTGAAATCAAATTTTTTTTTTAAATCTGTATTCGATCTAATTATCTAATTTTTTATTGAATATTTGATCCGAATTATCCAAAAAAATTCAGATTGGATATGCAATTGTTCGAATTGGATCATCGGATTAACTAATTGGATCATTCGGATATAATATTTTTGCAAACCCAATTTACAAGTGGTAATATTTTAAATAATCCTAACAATTTGATAATAATCATTTAAATATCCTACAATTAATAATGTTCGAATCTGAGATATTTAAGGAAAATAATAATACCCACTGATCATTCGGATATAATCATTGTGATCATTTAATTTGTACAATTTAAAATTGAGATTTAAGACAGTTTAAACACATTAGATGATATTTAAATAAACATATTTGTAAAATATTTTCCACTGTTAATGACTGAAATAATAACCCCTAACTTAAACTTTTAACTTAAACCAATTGCAGTAATTAAGTGACTTCTGTAATAAAGGAATTGTTGTTATTTTTTGAGGATTCATTTGTAATAAAAGAATTGTTGTTATTCTTTGAGGATTTGAGTTAAAGTATCATGAATATCAGGGGTATAAACGTT